TCGGTCAGAGTGTGGGGCGCGGCCGCGCCGGACGCCACCCCATCACAACTCTTCATTAAAAAGAGGCTTTCAGGAGTTGGAGTAACAAGTCTTCCAGCCCGACATTATTTTGACAGTAAGTCAAGATAATGGCTTGCTGTGTAGACAAGGAGTATGTTAGAAATTATTCTGAAATAATGCTGCTGTGTAGATGTTCCTTTAGTGCCAAACACCAAGGTGTTTTGAGGGCAGGGCAAAGCTTGAAGTGTTGACTGTATGGGACGCAACTGGGGATTTAACACACAGGAAAGAGGCTTATGGTGCCTTTCATTTTTTGGGGGGATATATAGAAGATGAGGATTAATTTTCATGGCCTCCCAAACTTTTCCATGGAGTAGTATGGTTTTACAATCTGAATGCTTTTGCTACCTCCACCATTCAACGCTTGACAACAATTGAGTATTCAGCTCCATGCTAACAAATATAGCCAAAAGCTCTGAATAAACTTCTGCTAAGTTGGTCAGCTGTGATTATGGTCAACACATCTGTCAATCTTCAGAGTTTACATGGGGTTGAGATAAATGCGGCGGTTCACATCTTTCTTAGAGATACTTGCTCATGATATGTCTACACAGCAGAATTATACCAAAATAACTGATGTTATTTTGAAATAACAGTGCATATCTACACAGCAAGGCATTATTTCAAAATAATGGTGAGCTGGAGGACTTCTTACTTGACATTAAATGTGGGTTACAGTAGTCAGAGTAAGGGAAGTCGAAGGAAGAGTGTTCTTCCTGCTGTGTAGACAGCACCAGAAGCGAATTAAGCTATGCAATTGACGTAGCTGAAGTTACATAGCTTAATTGACTTTTGCCTTGCTGTGTAGACGTACCCTCAGGCTGTCTGCAGCAAGCCTCAATCAGTTCAATTTAAAGATGGAATGTTTAAGAAAACTAGATGCCCAGCTTCCCACTGGCTTTCAGTAGTTGCTTTACAATAAGCCGAGATAGACACTATGGAATACAGGTTTTCTAGAGAAACTAAACACGTTATTCCACATTTTAAAGGGAATTATGTAGGTACTTCAATAGCTGCATAATCACATCTAAAGGATTCTTATACCTAGGCATAAAATATAAATTTTCCCTTTTAAATTTGTACAGTAAATTTGTACAGCATTGCTCAGAAAAATAAATACAAACATTTTACAGGTATTTTTTTTCAATTATCATTATTGGATCTGTTTGTAAAATCTATAGATCATTGTTTAGCCTGACAAAGATTATCATCTTGTCTATTAAAATGCTTGACTAAAAAGTAAATTGAAATAGAGTATATTTTGACATTCTAGCTCTTGAATGAACAAGCTTGCAAGTTTTGTGTATTTACGCAATTTCTGACTGGGTACAATTGGCTGATGTGAACATGGCTAGGCTAACTCCTTAGTTGTAAGAAATCAGCTGAAGAAACTGTTTTAGGTTAATGCCAATAATATCCATTACAAAATTATCTGATATGTAAATAGATGGGAGAGAAATCAGAACCGTCTTGTATCTACAAGCATAGCTATAGAGGACGTTTCTTCTTAAATGGAAAATTAAAATAACAGATCAAAATGTAAGATGTAATATTTCATGTCTGACAAGATGCTGTGCTAATTATAAGAGTTTAAGATGTTAGACTTATTTTAATTAATTTGAAGTTAAAAATTGTGCATTTTATTTCTTTAAAATTTCACTGTGCACAGTATGATCAAAAGTATAGGGTTTTTTGTTTCTCTTGGTTTACAAATAAATTGGGTAGGATTATTTTAAACCAAACATTTACTTTAGCAAGGTTAGCAGAAAATGCCAGGCTATAGTTCCTAATATTACTCGTGTTGTAACTTAAAATCTAGCTTCTTCTTGGGTAAAGCCATTTATAACGTTTATGGTCTAATTTCATTTTCTAACAATTATCTGGCAATATTAAGAAATAAGCACCTTAAGTAAAAAAAGAAAAGATTGAACTCCTGTTTCAAGTATATTCTCAGCTCTAAACTTCCGGTAACTTATACTACACAACACTTTTAAAAGAACCTTTTAGTCCTACTCTTAAGAGAATTCATATTTGCCTTCTAATATGCCTAAGACTGATCAACTTTATCACAACAGCACTGTCTACTGGAAGAAGTCAAATGGTGACTAGCAACTTCTAGTAATGTCCTTAATTGATTTCATATGTCTTAAAATGATGTCAAGGTAGCATTCCACAAATCTGTTGCATCCTTGTTTGTATGTAGAAAGATAATATAAAGATACAAATAATTATCTTGTGCATATGGCCAAGTTTGAAAAACAGGTAATCCAAATTCAGGTTTTATTTTAATATGCAACTTGATATGGTTTTCAGTGTCAATCTTTGTCACTTCTGTGCCAAACCACTTCAGTTATTAGGCCTATTCTTATATTCTGGGTCAAACCAACACATCTATGAAGCTGCACCTTACTGTCCTATAGAAATGTCAAACTAGTGTCCTGAAAATCTTGATCTGGCTACACTAAAAATCTGTACAGGCAGTCCCCGAGTTACACGGATCCGACTTATGTCGGATCCGCACTTACGAACTGGGCTTTTCTCGCCCCGGAGGATGCAGGCGGCGGGACCACCCAGACGTGCCGAGGTCCCGCCGCCCTCGTCCTCTGGGGCGAGAAAAGCTGCTCTGCATCTCCTTGGTCTGCTGGGGGGAGGGGAGGCCCTAGCAGACCAGGGAGACGCGGAGAAAAGTCGCGGAGGACCCAGGCGGCGGGACCGCAGCGTGTCTCGGTCCCGCTGCCCGCGTCTCCCTGGTCTGTTGGGGGCAGGGGACTGCAGCTAGTGCACCCCCACATCCTCCAGCAGACCAGGCTTTTCTTGGGACTCCTGGGGCAGAGCAGCTGGGGCGCTGCCAGTTGGTCCCGCAGTGCTGCTCCTCGGCGCTACTGAACCAACCCGGCAGCACCTCAGCTGCTCTGCCCCAGGAGGCCTGATTCA